TTGCTTTATGGAGTCTAATTCGATGTCAAATACGCATTCTAGACGCTAGCTTATTCATAAAAAAGCAAAAATAAGCCCTGATGTTTTACTCGCGAGAATGCGTAAAACTACCAAGTATCCTCTCTCAAGGGTCGAGATTAAAACGTTCACGATACACTCTGGTCTTGTGGGAGAATATATAATGTAATACTCGGACAGCTTCCGAGTAATGAATAATAATTGATTTTGTCGATAATAAAGCGTTTAATGGCGATAGAAAATTTAACCAGTTTTTTCAAAAATTACGGAATAAATTTCCTTTCGCTATACATTGACGGAATACAAATTCCCAGTAGACGGTTACAACCGAACTTCTCAAGAGACCCGTTCTACATCGAGGCATATCACACTCTCTCCTCAGGAATCGGAACATTTTTTGAACGAGAGAAATTCTATAAGCAGAGACGATTATCTTCTAACAGTACTATTTTTTCGCTTTTAATCTTACTCCTGATTTGTCAGCTAATAACGTCGGACATTGGAATTTTGTTAAACACTGGAGCTTGCGACTAGAAGTGAGATTCGAAAAGGCTTTTGGTGCGACAGTATTTATTGTATCGTGTATGCCGAGTTCGATAATGTTCTAGAAATCGACTCTTTTCAGCAAGTCATCGTCGACTTTTTTGGTTAAACTTTTCTTAAATTATTCCCCCACCTCCATATGAAACATTTTAATTCTGTCGAAAGATACTTTCTTAATCACGCAAACAGAATTCAATTTTTCTCAAGGCACGAGCGTCGTCATATCGAAAAAAGACTGCGAAGCAAAGATTTGGTCGAAGTCATGGATATAATCATCGATATATAGGGTTTTCGCAGTGCTGAAGAGAAGTTTATTGCAAAAGAAGTCGCAGTTATCGCGATTAACGCATCATACGTTGGTCACTGGATTTTAATACCGCGTTATCCATTTACCGATTTACTCGAGTGCTCTAGACGAAAAAACAACTAGCTTACGCGAAATCATTATGGCATTGAGTATGACGGTGAATCCTAAATATTATACGCTTCAACTATGAGAAATTACATGAAAGGTATGCTACATTTAGCAGAGGAGAAGAAAAGGCGCGTTACTTGCGGAATCTGCTCTCTAGAAGCGTATATAATTTGGAATGAATTTCTCCATCATTTAAAAATTTGTCCGATGCCGAAATGGATACCGAAGTAGATGCTGCCGCACTCATAACGAATTTCGTGAAATTTATTTACGCAACGCTTACAAATTGAAACACTGGCTAATCGGACAAGATAGTCATGGCGCGAGTCACATTATAGTTTCCTTAGCAAAAATCAGGATGTAAGCGACGAAAAAATAGATAACGTGATTTTTTTCAAATTCCGAATAAAAAATTAAATATAAACCATAGCATCGAAATGCAAGAGGAATAACATAAAAGAAAAAGAAGAAGAAAAGGAGACTTAACAAAAAATGAAAAGAGAGAAAATTTTCTTACGAAAGTCGAATCTCCGATTTGTAAAAACGGGTCAGGTGTCGCATAAATTTCTCACATTCCCAGTAACACGGCGATACATTCGTCGGGAAACGCAACAATGACTTTGACGAAAAGTGAGCTGAACTCTGAAGTTGGGCAAATAATCCCTCTCATCCGATCACCAAGCTTATTTAAATTCTCTGAAAATTTTACGCGTACTGCAGCAACTCCATCGGATATATGGAATCTTTTCTGCCGACAAAATACTGAAAGTGTGGACAAGGTCAACAGTCATCGGACAAACACGGACAAAGACAATCGACCTGGCGAATACTGAGTCGCCTTTTACGTCGATGAGCATGGGAGCATATTTCGATAGTTATGGATTATCACTTTTGGACCCCGGAGTCCTCTTACGACTACGACAAAACTCCAACACTCATGTATGGAACACCACTAGACTGCAAAGGATGTTTTCTCAGACTTGCAGACAATACTGCTGCGTATTTCTTTATTATCTGTCTCGTAATTATAATCAGTTTCTCGATATTTTTTCCGAAAATTGTGAAAATAATGATCAAATAATTGTACAACTGTTTCGTAAGATTTTTCTTCACAATAAAAAAGAAAAATGTGTAAAATTTCAAGCGTATTGTCATATTCAATCATATACTTTTAAAAAATAAAATGTAAAAGAAATACTTATTCTTATGAAAGATATAATGTAGCAATAAACGCTTTTTTTGTAATGTTAATTCATGTTTCTTTCACGCAAATTTCCTTCTCTGTAATATACAGATTTTTTTTACTTTCAGCTTTAAGTTATTGTATATGTCATAAATGTTATAGTCCTGTGTCTAAGAAAAAATCCACTTGTTCCTTTTCTCTCCCTCCGAGATAAAACACAGAATCTCTCTTTTCGTCTTCTTTGCCATTTTCGTTCTCTTCAAAATTCCCGAAATCTTCAAATCTGCAATCAGTCGGAGCACTATGGAGCAAGCCAATCAGCTCGCTGGGCAGCCATGGAGAGAGCCAATCAGAAGTGTAGATCGACAACTCGATTATCCCCTCTACTCTATCACCACGTGCCAGACCCGTCTATCCTTCTCCTTTTTGTCCCTCTGTCTGCCTCCTTACTGGCGCCAATGACGTCATTTGTTTTGACGCGTCATGACTGCCCACTTACTACTGACGTGTAATTACTGACACCCCTTTGTGAATGACACTAGCGGAACTACAAGCTATATTTCGCACGAGTAAGCTAAAGAATAGAAATTTAATACGATAGGTCAGAAGCAGGAAAACTGGAAATAAATGTGAAAGATAAAATTAAACGGCAACTATAAACTAACAATGCCAGAAATAACGATAGTTACACGGCGATTAGTGACATTATGTACAAGCATATTTACCGGAATAAAATTTAACGTCGATGTCGCAAGATAGTAAAAAGATAAAACAGCTTGCAGAAAAAATAAAGCTGTGACTGATAGTAAAAGACCTATCAGAATTAGCAAGATAAGCATGAAGGAAGATGAGTTAAATAGGCAACTAGAAGAGAAGCCAAGCATATTTCAAAACAAACATTTCGTCCTGTTAGTTTTAATGGTAATAATTATAATGAGTGCAATAAGTATAATCATAAGAAAAAGAGAAAACTGTAAACACACAGCGAGCATAAAAGCATCAAAAAGTGTCGATAAAGCAATGTTGTATTAAAAGATAAGAGAATAAAACCAAATAGGGGAACAGACAAGAAATAAAGATAATAAAGATAATAGAAATAAAGATAATAAAATAAAAAAGAACGTAATCATAAAACTAGATTAAGTATTGTAATGCTGCGTCTCATAATATTATATTTTTATAGCATTGTACTATTAGGCACCAGTGCTAGTTTAAAAGAAAACCCTCTTTTCCTTCTATCTCATTTCGTTTCCCAACGGGAGAGGGATGTAGCGCAACCAATATCGCGCAGCACACCTGCTGATCAAAACTCAAAGATTATTACTAATTTAATATTAATATTGATATAATTTTTAAATAAAAGAACAATGCGTATCAGTGTCGATTGCAATGAACCTATGTGCAATCCAGCGAGGACGCTGACACTGATAACACCGAAACGTTGACGAGCCAAAGCAACATTTCGACACGAGGACGCGCCGAGACCGCGCAACCGTGGATTAATAAAAGAAAGGGAGAATAGACAAGAGTTGGAGTGTGTTATAAGTATGCTGGGAGTATGTAACAGGAGTTTGACATCAATTAATAAGATTTATCAGTTAAGCGCGTCAGTTAAACGACACGCAGAGTTAACTGTCAGTTTTTGTGGCCTATTCATACAATGCTTGAGAAACATAGCTAAATACTATTCGAGATTTGATTCCAAAACGTGAAAGCCCCACCGTCCATGTTGTTCATCCTGCGTAATGATAAGCACAAGGAAATGTTGGCGGTATTGTAAATTTCAAGCCTTATAACTCAATAAGCACTTAAAGAAAAATACTCATTAGAGCGTTTTGAAAAACTTTCGAGGTAAGATGCGAGAATATACAATAAAAGGAAGGGTTTCCATTCAAAAGAATCGACGTGACCTTGAGCTGACCTTGATGACGCCATTCAAGATCAAAAGAGATATCGCCATTAAATATTATAGATTTCTTTTGAAATCTTACTTTTTGCCTGAAACATTTGTTTCAAAAATGCTTTGTTTTAGAAATACTCAATGATCTCCACAATTTTGGCACATTCTCTGTGTGTATGTGTCGTTGCCGTTGCGTGCGTGCGTGCGTGCGTGCGTGCGTGCGTGCGTGCGTGCGTGCGTGCGTGCGTGCGGGCGTGCGTGCGTGCGTGCGTGCGTGCGGGCGTGCGTGCGAGTATGTAGAGTATGTAGAGTACATGATATCCTATTTTAAAAATTCCAATATCTTCTAAAAAAGCGTTTTAGAAGAAAAACGTTTTAAACAAAAGTTGTAGGGTTTCGAGAAGAACATCCGATAGTGATTTTGCCTTTGTTACAGATTCTTTTTTAGGTCATTTATAGGTCAACTTTTGTTTTTTAAATGAAATGATCTATTTTTAACATTGGAAGTCAATAGTGAAGGAAATTTTATAATAAAAACATGTAGCAACATTTGTTATCAAATTCATCCCAAATCATTTTAAGGCCAATATGTTTTCACTCCAGCAAGCATATCAGAGCAATTTATCGTCAGTTAGACTTCATGTCATGGAGTCAAGTTGACTATAGGAGTCATTTCAAGGTATACTTGTGTATTCAGTAAAATGAATGGAAATTAGTTCGCACGACCATTCAGTTTCGGTTCAATAAGAATTTTTGCAGCAACAACGCATATGTTCATTTCTTTACGAGTTGATGAATATATTTTCGAACAATATCCCTCACAATACTTTTATCGAAATCTGACTTTTTGAAGAGATTTACGCTAAAAAAGCACGCAGATTGTGACAGACAAAGGAACTCATAATGCGTTTCAATTAGGTCATTAAATATGAAATGTTCGATTTGAAATTAAAAGTTTGGTTCATTATATATTTCAAACAAGAAGCAGTACAATTAATCAAAGTATACCCCTAAACTATCACGATACAGTTTTGCCATTAGTACCTTATTTATGCCGGCAGCAAAGGAGCCTGGAAAGTGAATGGCAATGAAATCGCAACAGGCGTTTTTCACAGTTTGTTAAGAATTAAATATTTTTCCTTGCAAGAAGTGGTCCAATGCCTGAAAGAAGTGGTAATCAGTTAGCGCAAGATCTGATGAATATGGTGAGCGACACAGAGTTTCTAAGTCCAGCTCTTTTAAATTGAACAGCATTGTTTGTGCGACATGTGGTCAAGCGTTGTCGTGTAAGAGGATTGACCTATTTCTGTTGACCAATCTAGGCTGCTTAATTACAAGTTCCCTTATCATTTCGTCCAATTAGTTACAGTAGACACCTGCTGTAATTGACCAGATTTTATGAAGTTGTAGTGAATTATACTAACGCTGGATCGTGTTTCGGCATTTTATTTTTATCCAACCTTCCGCTTGCGATTTTCGAAAAATATCCATTTTCATCACACGTAACAATATGATGTAGAAATGCCTTTATGCCGTGACAATAAAGCAAACTTCAAGACAGTTTCTCTTCTCTTCTCGTTTAATTCATGTGGCACCCATCTATCCAGCTTCTTTACCTTTCGATTTCTTTCAGATGATTCAATATTATTGGAATAGTAAACGGAATAAAAACGTCAAATCTTTCTGCTAATTTACGCATAGTTTGAAATGTATCTGCTTCCACTATATAGCTTTCAACTCATTATTTTTTACCTTGATCTCAGGTCGCCCACATGACTCATTTTTAAGAGTAAAATCGCCAGAACGAAACTTCTTAAATCATCGGTATATTGTGCGTTCATTAGTCACATCTTCATGTCATTGATATTTCGAGCTGTCTGCGCTGCATTGGTTCCACGACGGAACTTATGTTTAATAAAATAACACGAATTTTTGACTTATCCATGGCTTGGCAAAAATTGATCTGAAAAACGCAATTCAAAAGAAAATTGCAAATAAAAATGTATTTAAAAGGGTAATAATATCAAATAACCTTAAGAATAAAAAAAAACAAGAATTGTCAGTGATATCGACAGATCAGAGATATCGACTCTCAAACTTAAGGAAATCGGATATTTTATTCTTAATGATCTAATATTTAGAAAAAATGAAGTTGATCTTGAAATAATCTCTGTAGTCAATTTGTCCTGACATAATTGAACGAGGTTGCTCTATTATATTTTATTCATTTCTGAAGTGAACATTTTTTTAAGACTTGATATCCTTTACGAAAAGGAACTACTGCCAGCTGTGTGCTTATTACAAATGGCTGTGTAGTTATTACGGCCGCTATGTAATGCTTACTCTCGATATTACTATCTAGTAACTATTTGTAATGGATTACATGCCGATATTATACGCCTTTTGTGTATCACTGGAATGATTACAGCAGCATGTAATAACTGGGAAGTTGCGAATTACACGCAGATATTATTGACATCATTCGTATACCTAAAAAAAAAAATTTTTGTATTAGTAAAATCCTCTAAATCTTACAAATAAGTACAATATTTTTTCATTTAGAATAATTTCTTCTTGCATCTACAGTGCAAATCTGTTCTTAATATCAATTTCCTTTTGTATACAGATTATATAATACTGTTTTAAAATATATTTATATTTAATTGATATATATCTTACTAGATCTTACTAGATTAAATGTGGGCCAGTACATTTTCAAGTTGATTTTTTCCAAAAATCTTTCAACTTTACTTTCACTCATTGTGACAGAAACAAAACTATGAGAAATAATACTATCTGAGCACTTTTCCACAAAGTTTTTTACAAAAGACAAAATTGCGGTTTCACTCTTTTTGATCATGTTCCGATACACTGCCACTAAAAATCTATAATATACGTTATGTGACCTATGGATTCTCAGTACTGGCAGTGTATATCCGAGTGCGGTCGTTCCCTCTTACTGTCTTCTCGCGCAGCGTGACGTTTTTTTATTTTAACCTATCATACATGGCATACGTAGCACTTACAAGGGGATGATGCGAACTGGGGAACACCGATTTTAAAAAGACTTATATATGTTAAAGTATTCTACTAGAAGAGTACTTAAGTAAATGGATAGAACGCCATATTCAATTGTTTTTGAGAAAAACCGGTTTAAAGTTTATAGCATTCCTTATATACCGGCCGCGTTAAGCTCATTGTCGCCGAGATTGGGCACTCGATCTTGTACTACTAATCTGTCGAGCCGGATTCGATTCCTGCCTATTATATTATTTTTTTTTTAATCTAGAAAATATTTATTTATTATATTATTATGTTAAATACGTATTATATTATTATATAAAATCAAATTAATTTAATTAACAATTGTTTATATTATACTTAAAATTTTCACTTTTAACTTCAATTAATAATTTATTTGAACCTAATTTTTATTCAATTAACAATCTTATTATTTTACACGTTCTGTACGATATAAAACTAATAAAATGCCTTTTAACTTTTAACATAGTTAAATATAAAAACTTTTAACATAGTTAAATATAATATATTTTAATTAAACTTTTAAATGGTTAATTTAATAAGGAATTTAAAAATAAATTTGGGAGATGTTGTGCCAAAACTTTTATGCATCTTCATCACTATTAATACTTGTAATTTGATTACAACTGTTTGAGTGATATTTATCATAAAAACAAGTGAAACATAGATTTACTTCACACTATGCACATTTTATGAACGTTACTTCTCGACACGCACAATGCTTTTTTAAAAAATTAACAGGAAAACAAACAGCATTTACATTTAAAAAAATCGGTTTTTCTTTTGTTAATTTAGCAGCAAACCACGCATATTTAAGCATCGGAATAAATACGGGAGCACTTAATTGATTATGTATTAAAGAGTGTATTTTTATAGCATCTTCGCGTGATGATATTTCTCGTTGATTTTGAAAGAGTAAGATTATTTTGTAATTTTTTAATAAAAATTTTTACCTGACGATAAAAATAAACATCGCAGGGCTGACAAAGCGGCGTACATTTGGAAGGAATAATTTTCAAAGTGCAAGTTGCTTCTCCAGAATCATTTTCAAAAATTTCATCATGTAAACTGTAATCTGTTTGTCTCTCCCACGAATCAATAATTAACATAAATTTATTTTTTTACATATGTACAAGGTTTTTTATATAGGTACAAGGATATTTTCTAAAAATTGTTTACAATTTTTTCATTAATTTTCCTGATTTGGAGCAAATGATCACAACATTTTTAAATTCTATGGTTAATTTTTGAATTTTTTTGAAACTGTCGGATCAAATTTATTCGTGGGCTCTTGTAGACACAAAAAAACTAATGGAAGCAACTTGCCTGACGCAGTTACACAATATTGTGCTGTATACGAATGAGTTAATTTGTTTAAATTTTGTTTCTTTACAAGTACTGTTTTCACTCTTTGAAAGTCCAATGATCTATTGTAAGTCATCTCATATTGACAACCTGTTTGGTCTGTATTAATCACAAAATCCAAATCAAATTTAGAAATCAAACACCTTGTTTGTCTCTGAAATTTTTCTGCAGCCTGTACTCGTACTATACTCGTACAGTTTCTTCGAGAGTAGCGATGTCTCTTTTGCTCACGAATTTTGTGATTTTTCATTGTTTTATTCTATGCTTTTGCTTGAAGATTGTGGTCCATGTAGAACTGGTTTCAAATTGAAATTCTTCCGAAAAAAAGGAAAATCTGTTGCCATTGCCCATTGCTGTAACATTCTTGTAGTAACCTGTAACTTGTAAATATTTTCACATTAAATATATATTACGTCGGAAAAAATTTATATTATATTCTATTATATTATATTATACTATATAAACATATTCTAAAAGGTGGAACGCGAATCGATAAAATAAGAACAATCAATTCTGAAACTTTTGAACGTTTTATTGAAGCAAGATGCCGTTTGGAGCAGGAAAAAATAATTTTATAAAAAATAATTTTAAAAGACATTCATTGTATTTTCATTTTTATATCAATTTTTATATCATTTTTATATCACAATAAATTTCGCAAATATATTTCAAAAAATCACTTTTTGAAATCTTCGCTCAACTCAAGTATTAACTATGAACTGATTCTATCATTAGCTCACGTTGAAGTGAGCTATCGCTGATCGCTGTCTTTGTTTAAGAACAAGATCAGAAGAGATTTTGAATTTCTTTATGTAAAGATATTATATAGAGATATACGTTAAGGTAGAAAAGTAGTGTGGTAGGGAGATCAAAAACTGTTACCTGAGGACATCAGATATACAAATATACAAATATTAGAGTCGGAGCAGTGAGTAACTTAACGTTGAGTAAAAAATTACGGACCAAATAAAATTACAATGATAAAATATTTCTTGTATTAAATAATAATTAATAAATAATAATAACTATAGTAACTATTTTAATTAAAGTTATTAAAATTATTAATTAAAGTTAAAAGTGAAAATTTTAAGTATAAACAATTGTTAATTAAATTAATTTTATTTTATATAATAATATAATACGTTATTTAACATAATAATATAATAAATCAATATTTTCTAGATTAACAAAAAAAGTATAATAGGCAGGAATCGAACCTGGGTCGACAAATTGGTAGAGGGCCAGCGCCCGAGCTACTCGATCTCGGCGACAATGAGCTCAAACGCGGCTGGTATATAAGGAACGCTTTAAAAATAAACTTTAAACTGATTTTTCTCAAAAACAACTGAATATGATGTTCTATCCATTTACTTAAGTACTCTTCTAGAGTACTTTAACATATATAAGTTTTTAAAATCGGTGTTCCCCAGTCGCGCCATCCCCTTGTTAGTTTTTCGTGTTTCTTGTATTGCATGAGAAGGTATTCCGCTTTCAGTAAACATATTCATGTCATTCAGTAAACATATCTTAATACAAGAGGAAAACCATTAGAATAATATATATTACATTTTAGATGAATAGGTTACTTTATTAGAAGAAGAATACTCTTTCTGTAAAAATCTTTGCTTAGAATATAGGATTACAAGGAATTTCACTTCATAATTAGAATATTTTTTTTGAGTATATTAATTAAATATGTATTATACAATTTTCCCCAAAAACAAGAAATATAGAAAATATTGAAAAATATCTTTCGCAGAAATGACAAAAAACAAAAAAAGAAAAAACAAAATTAAATTACGCACGCATGCATGCATGCACGCTCGCCCGCTCGCTCGCCCGCCCGCTCGCATGCCCGCCCGCTCGCCCGTACGCCCGCCCTCATGTTCGCTCGCACGCTCGCCCGCACGCCCGCCCGCCCGCACGCACTCCCGCACGCACGTTCACATGCACGCCCACACGCACTCCCGCACGCACACTCGCACGCATGCACGCACGCACAGAGGATGATTCATTTTAATCCATCCAACTGAATGTCTTGAAAACTGAAACCGGCAAAAGATTTTATAAAAAAGTTGTCTGGTTTGAAGACGGACATAAATGATGTTATTAATTTTACCTTGATAATCATTTAAAGTCACATGAAGATCATCTACAGTTTCTTAAATAAAGATCCCCATTGTTTATTGCATATTTTTGTAGCTAACTTTAAGAGCTGTTCAAAAGTATATTAATATTGTATTTCATTAAATATTTTTCAAGTTACAAGTTACAGTTGTTTTTCAAAAAAGATACGTTGCATACGTATTGTTGCTAATCTCTATTTTTTAAAACAGCAACTATGTATTTTTTTATATTAATTGATTCATCTTATTATTCTATGCATAAAAGTATTAAATATAATTGTCAAGAAATGAATACTTTACGATATATCTTATATTTTATGTCTAATTGCATATCAAATTCAAAATGTTTTCATAATTGCTCTTATAGCCCAATTCATCCATGCTCATTTTTCTTAGTTATCATGTACTTAAAAAATATAGAAATTCAATCTAAAAATCCAGCAGAATTCTTTCTAGTTCCTCCTTCTCCTGATCGCAAATTTCTATCACATAACTCATTACACTTTGTATCAAGTATTTAAATAATATTCATTCTCTTTTTAAAATTATTCCTATACATCCTCTCTTCCAATCCTCATATTTTCCTAACTTACTATTCTGCCTTTCTTCATTAATTTCTTTATACGATTCTTGTGGGTGATGTATAAAAGAGTGCTGTACAGGTAGTATGTTTCACTGCAACTACCACATCAAATGTCTAGCTCCGATGAGAGATGGTTGTAAGTAGTTCTCGTAGTCACTCATGGCTCCACAAGTGCCACATCCTGTTGGCATCGGCTTATAAACTAAATTGAAAGTAACCAGATATAGTGAATGTAACGCGTCTGATCCTAGATAGGGGCTGTTACAAACAGCATCTGAATCCATGTCAGGATGATTACATACCGAAGAAGGCAACGGGAAGCCACTTTGGCCTTACAATTCCCAAGATATCACTATGGCGAGGAAACTAATACGTACGGCCCCCAATCTTGGGCAGCCCTTAGGTAAGCAGGGGATGCAAAGAATCTCCTGCCTTAAAATAGAAATCAAAATTGAGAGTGTGTAAAATATTAGAAGCCTGCATGTGTAAACTGAACAACGCAGTAAAGAAAATGAAGAGGTTGCAAATTAAAATTATGGGAATCAGTGAGTTAAGATGGCATACAGGAACATATTCCTTAGAGGAAGGAGGTCTTGTATTACTCGGAGAGCCATGAGGAAGATCGACATCGGCGTAACGGCGTGGCCGTGCTCGTCGATTCTGAGTAAAGTATGTTAAGAACTTCATGCCGATCTCAAATAGGATTAAATTATTTTAATTATAGAGTCACTCTTTTGATATAAATATCCTCCAGATATATGCACCGACATCTGAAAGTAAATACGATGATGAAGTAATACGATGTAAAGAAGCTTTACGAAACCATTGAACACACGTTGGACCGGCTCGGGAATAACGCCATCAATCTGATAATTGGAGACTTCAACGCAAAAATTGAAGAAAGAAGACGAGCTGACATTGTTGGAGACTGTGACTTGGGCACATGTAATAACAGAGGAGACAAATTATATGTTCGGCCAGCAAAATGAGTTAATAATAATTAATACAAGTTCAAGCTCTCCAAGCGGCACCTGTATACGTAGAAATCCTCAGGATGTCTGCGGTAATCCTGAATCTACTAGGAATCAGATAGATTCCTAGTGAATAAGTGCTCTAAATAATTCCATTACAGGAGTAACAATCTATCCAGGATATA